ACACACACACACACACGCACACACACACATGCTATGAACATGACCGTCTGTTGAACTTTGGCCAAAACTCACTCACCAGAACTCCCGTACACGCCCATACATGCACAGAAAAAGGGGGAGAGGTACTGGAGTGTCCCACGATTCCCACCGCGCAGAAGAAGAAACTCAACGGAAGACTCAGAGAAGCGAAGTGACAGAATACGTAATTCAGTGATTTCTCTCCACAACAATCATTCATAGATAACAACAGAGTGGTCGCAACACTGACTCACAAGATTCACAACCAGAAAGCAATGGAGAGATGACAACTCAAACACAGTATTAACACTGTTTATTGAACTCGGAGCATCGTACAACTAAAGTAACCTCAGAAGTTCAGAACCCTGTTGCGCTACCCTGAAAGGGGAAGCGCCTCAACTCCAACACCCCGAACAACTAAAAACAGCAACGAAAGTTACGAAACCCCAGCCTCCCCACGACCCCAGGTAACACCCAGCGGGCCAGCGGCCCAAACTCTGTCAATCGTATTCCAGAACATTTGATATATTCAAAGGATAAAGGAATACATAAGGTACAGCATAAGCTGATTATCAGACGGAAGCATGTAGTAAAATGGTTAACTGAAATAGGCTCCCATAGCCAATCGGCGATCGCCACTCAGATGATGACGTAGAAGCTCACCGCCAATAGTACCTGATGAAGATGAAGTCCAGACAATGATAATCTCTGAGAAGATGCATCTATGGCTGGATCGCCACTGGGAGTCCGGGAGCCTGGGACCCAATTCCTGAGGAGTGTTAGCACTGACTCAGCAGTGCAGTACGTACTCCAACGCATCAGACCTCTGATAGCCCAGACCTCTCGTGTCCACATCCTATCTATAATGTACATATAGCCTACACCGACCTAGACTAGATTGACTAACCAGTTTTGGCCTCTAGGGCCTAACACTACCCGACTATAGGCTATAGGACCGTCTATCAGCATAGGCCCGTGGGGCCTCTCTGTCCTAGGGGTAGCCCGGGTCTGCTATTCGCARTTTGGGTAGCAGTAGCCTGTAGCCTGTAGGGAAAATAAAGTTGGTACTGGGCCCATATTTCTATATTTACAGATATATACTTCATGAATTTTCCATACAGGCAGGTATCTCGGTCGGTCCTTTGCCAAACAAAGAATGATAGAAAGCAGTGAACACTGAGCACACAGAGTCTCTCTCTCTCTCTCTCTCTCTCTCTCTCTCTCTCTCTCTCTCTCTCTCTCTCTCTCTCTCT